TACCTGTGGCTTTGAAATCTAACTACAGAAAAGACCAGTCTCACTTATACAACTACATAACAGCTTCTTTCAGCTCCTTTTTCACAAGGGGTTGCCAGCGGGAAGCTCTGCATATTTGATTTGGCAGATTTTTATGTTGCGTGGCCTTCCTGATGCAACTTCCAAGGGTTCTGTGTCTCCTCCTGGAATCCTTTGCTTTTTAGGCAAAAGTGTAGAACTCATAACTAATTTACTAAATTACCTGGGTGCTTTAGATCAGTTTCTGACAGTGAGTGTGCCTGAAATAAACCACATTTTTTTAGGTTTACAGTAATGATGGAGACCGTGCAACAGCTTGAGTCATTTATGAGTCATGTTCAAAGTGTGTGTCTTTTTAAAGGTTTTAAAGTGGCTGCTATCAAACACAATCAATTTTAAAACAGCTGAATTTCTTTTAGTATTTTTAGATTTACTAAGCCTGGAATTTCCCAAACTTTGAGCCTGGTATGCTGCTGATCTGCTTTTGGTCAAATACCCATTTCAGCTGTAAATTAATAGCAACAAATGGAGTCCTGTGCAGCTTTCACACCGACAGTCTGCATAGCCCCTTGGATGATGTATCCCTGATTGGTAATACTCGGCACGGCGGTATAATCTTTAGGTTTTGCATGCAGACAATACATGTTGTGGGATCAGTCGGTGGTTGGTTTTAATGGGATTTGTGATTAAGGTTCCTATCTAAGTGGATTCCTCAGAGGTGTGTTCAGAACACGATCTGATGCATTTTTTTTTTACCAGAGTTTGACTGTTTATTAAATTCTTGAGTAATTTTTGTGTGTAAAGTAGCAAAAAAAAATGTATCTGCATTTCTATCCTTAAAAACTAAAGGATATTCCAGTTTTAAAGATTTACTATAGTATAATGTGTATTCTACGAAAACATTTCAATGTTTTTAAGGTGAAAGAGCTTCTTTAATCTTCATCAAATAACGTTTTGGAGCAACAATAATATTTACTCCTTACCAAGAACCAATCTTCAAAATGCAGAGTAAAAACTGAAAACCATTGTATTTTGAATGGCACTGGACTCGATTATACATTGTTTGAAAGCACAAAGCCGCATGGCTCAAAGCGTGTGGTCATTTTAGGATACCAATACCACGGCAGCAAATAGTTTTATACTTGCACACGTAGCAAAATAGCAGCTTCTTTTTCTGTTTTATTGTCTGTGTGGCTGCAAACCTGTTAAATCTCAGTGTACTGAAGTTTATTTCCGCCAACAAAGTCCAACTCACAAAATGCTTTCTGCTTCTTCTTCTTTGGTAAAAAATGGTGGTGAATGTCATAGGGTTACTTCTGTTGGGGTTGGGTCAGAAAACGCTCTGGGAAAAGTATAAATGTTCCTGATGCTGGTAAAACAGAAATATCTACTCTGCTATACTTCTGTTTATTCTTAGTGCATAAGATTAGAGATTGAATTCTAAACACTAAAGAATAAAACACAGCAGAAATCATTAAAATAAGTTATCTCGTTAGGTTTTTAAAATTGGGCCGGCTACACTTGAGCTTCTTTAATGAAGCTGATGTTTAATGTTTGCTGAAGAAGTCTCAGTTAAGCTCTAGAGTAACTTAAAGGGCACAGTGTGTGCTTTTATAGTGCTGTTTATATTTTGTCAACACAAACAGCTCACTGTGGTCCCTTGAAAACACACACACACAAAAAAAGAAAATAATGTAATCTTAAATGTCAAGGTTCTGGCTTAATATCTCTAAATTTTGTGTTACTTCTGAGCAAGTCAAAATTTTGCGATACAAACATGAAATTTTGACCAAAACATTTTTGTATCAGTGGCATAAACAAACTTCCACAGATCACATGCAGTATGAGGGGGAATTAAAAGAATCAAGCCCACAAGGATGAGCCAAAATGTGCATTTTCTCTAGTGGACAATTCCTGGCTGTTAAAGTGAGTCGACCCATATAGACTCATGTTAAAATGTCCAAATTTCCATCATTAAAACGCACATTTACAGCCCAGTACCTCTATGGATAGTCTTACCCTTCACAAAAATGCCTGAAAGGGATTTAATTTTTTATAACTTATCCATCTGAACACTAGAATAAAAGGCTCTTTTAGTCACTTAACTGGACCACTGCACTCTGGCTGTGCTGTTGGTGCCTTTAGGAGCATTTTCATGGACAGATGACAAACATTACAGCTTCAATCGATTCAAAAAGTTTGTGCTTCAGTTTTGGTAAATGTAATCTTAGTATTTTAATGTTACTTTGCACTAATGATTAGATGTGAGTGTCTGCGCAATGCAGGGATGTAATTTATGAATACAGCTTGCTAACACCTAACAAAACAATCTGACATTAGCTGATAGCTTAGCACTCCACCCTTTCATCCAATCTGGCAAACATGCCAGCAAGGGCTAACGTCAAAGCTCCAAAATGCATATTTGAAAACCAGCTGTTGACATCTGTCTGTTTATCCTGTGTACAGTCAGTCAAAATGTCCAACTCTAAGCACTAAAAAGCATGTTTACACCCTGGTGCTGGCAATGGTTTTAGTGTCGAAAGCTGATATTCTCTTTTATAACAACAGAACAATGATCACCCTTGAATTTGTTAACAATTAAATTTAGGGGCGCAGTTGATTTGATTGAGAGGAGCACCGACACAGGCAGCTGCAGGCGATCTGCTAAGGCCTCAATTTGTGGTGTCAGTTCCTTCAGGAGCACATCACTGGAGTTATGTGATAAATAATAAGGCTGACTGTGAAATATGTGCTGTCTAACAGTTTTGCTCTCCGGTTTGGGAGAAATTATTTTATCAATCTGTTACTAATTAGCAGGTTTCTGTGTCTGCGTGATGCACCTGTGCAGTTTATGGGTGAGGATTCCAGGTGTTAACTTTGCACTCAATTCTCTCCTCTAAATATAGTCACTTCTGGGAACAGAAAACAAAGATGGCGTGGGTCATAAAACAAGATTTAATTCCCCAACATGTGAATCCAGAAACTAATTAATTCTGTTTCATATAAAGTATTAAATTAAACTTATACTTTAGATTCCTATATTGAAACGGTTTAAGAAATGCTCAAATGTTTAATTTAAACTACTTTCCCTGTTGATAAAACACAAAATGATAATTATCCTTTCTTAGGCTTTTGAATGTGAGGTGCAGAGCTTGAAATAGCTGAGAATAAGACGTCTGCGGTGGAGAGGGCAGGGGTTAGTGAGTAGAGACGCTCCAGACTTCCAGGCAAGAATCATCTCGCTCCAGCTGCCAAAGGAATAAAGTGTTGGGAGCTGTCCATGGTGCTGAAATCAACCACTATCTCTGTGCACAGGGAATAAAAGGAACTGGCCGTGATGCCGAGATACTGACGCTGCAAGGCGAATGGCACGTCTCACAACAAAAGTGAGCATCAGGTGCATGCATACGTACACACTGGCTGTCGTTCAGTCAAGCTGCTGCTATCCAAACACACACTCTGCCCAGAGAAATGTGTTGAATATGACAAATGCAGGCGTAGAAATAGCATCCGAGAGCAGCAGCCTTAATAAGGAGCAGTGGGTATTACCACATGCATAATGTAACACAGAACTGAAGTAGATATCACACGTATGTACTCATAAAGCCCACTCCTCCACATGAGCATCCCATCATCTTTCTTTCTGTTTCTGCCTTTGCCCGTATGCTTTTCTCTTTGGTTATCTCTCACATGCAGGGGATATAAAAAGAGACCGAGAGAGACAGCTCTCCTAATCTGTTCTTTGACCTATAGTTTGAAAGCTGCAGCCGCTCTAAAATGTTTTTCATCCGTAGCTCGCTGAAGATGGGCTCTGTGGTGCGTGGCTTCAAGGCAGCCCGCATCGTACACCTGCTAAGGGTCAATGATCATCTCAGCCCACGGGGGCACAAACGTAAAGCCGGGCCTCCGCTGGATACGGGCAGGTTGCTGACCGGTCCAGAAATGCCTGGCTAAACTTTATTCCTTCCATCCCCTCTCTGAGCTCATAGCGATTCAGTGCATGCGTGTATCGGCTGGCTATTCCAGAGTCAGCCTCCCACCCTCATCCCTTGTGAGAGATAAGTATTGTTTGCGTAGCAGCACATTTCATGCTCGGCTTCCCCCACCTGTTCCCTGACCTGCGAAGTCTGAAGGCTGGAAACGCTGTCAAACGTCTCCACACACATCTTTTGAGGCTGATTGAAAGGTTTTTGTCTAGAGCTCTGAAAGTTTCACTCAGCGGAGCACAAAAACAAAACTTTGGTCAAGGATTCCAGCAGCCATTTAAAAGGGGAACGTCACATGGATTGTCTGGGATTTAGTGTTCTTTTTGGATTTGTTGCCTGCAGGTTTGTGGGTGAGATCTGGCTGATACAGCAAGGTCAAACTATTAATCAAATCTATCAAGCCTGATTTGCATAATGAGCTGTCACAGAATTTCCAGCCAACTCTTTTCCCCTCTTCATTGACTCGTTTAGTGAGTTTAAGTTTCCCAGCTTCTCTGCGTAAAGCCTGACTGTGTCAACCAGTTATCAATCCCACATGCATCAAGGCTTATGTGTGTAGCAAGACAAACAGGGCAGAGAAGCACAGCTGTGTCTGGTTCAGCTGGCAGGAATCTGTTTCCTTTTGCATACCAGCGATTTGCATTCATAAAGTTGTTTGAATTTTGCACAATGCTGTCACTGGAAGGCAAATGTGAAGAGCAAAAGAGCTGAATGCCTTCACCTTTTCCAGTCGCTCTCTATAGAAACAAATTACACATTTACAGTGGAGATCTTTCTAACTGTAGCATGGTGACTGGTTTATGTTTCTTCTCTTTTTTCTTCATTAAAAGAGCTCAAATTAGTTCATCATTTAAAACAAATCCAGGTTTGTTCGAGACATTTACTTAAAAAGACAAAAAAAAGAGGAAAGGAAAGTTCAGGCTTCTGTCATCTAGGCTGCAGAAAGAAGTACAAAGACAGCACCAAAACAAACTCCAGCGAAGTTAAATTTCTCACCTATTGGAAAAGCAAAATCCTCAAAGATGAAAATCAAAACTGTTATTTTTGCGCCCGAGGAGACGTACAGCCTCGAACACCAGAGAAACACTGTAAGACCCGAGAAAAGCACCAAAACCACACCAAAATAAGCCATGATAAAGGAGGAAAAAGCCAGAAAATAAGCAAAAGGTCGAGATCGGAACAAGTGAGCTCGTGAAAAAGCTGCTTCGGGAAGAGGAGAGGAAGACAGAGAAGAGGGGGGAAAAATATCAAGAGCGTCCGCAAGCACGTAGGGCTATTTCTCAGTGGATGTCACCGGAGCACAAACACTCTGCATCCAAGATTTAAATCATTGCATGCAGAAAACGAGAAAACATTTTCCCCGTGTCGAAACACCAAGAACAGGAAGGAAGAAAAAGAGGACAAAAATATGCTTAAGAAAATGGCAGTGGGAAATGTACTCACCGAGCGGGAGTAAAAGGTTTCAATTAAAAAGAAATTGGGCGTATAGCCGTGTCGGATTGGCGGTGTGCAGGCTTGTGTACACCGAGGCTCTGCGTCTCTTTTGCGCTCTCCGTTCGCTGCTGGTGGTTGAGTCATGTGACTTCGGATTGGTCAGAGTTTTTGAATCAGTCCGAGCTTTCTTCTTGTATTCGCTGCTGTCTTTTTCTGCTTTTCTCTTTCTCTTTTTCTGCTTTTCTCTTTCTCTTTCTCTCTGATAATGTCACTGATTTTTCCACGTAGAGCTTTTCCAGTTTCTCAAAATAGAGACCGGCACCTCTTTGAGGGTCACTGCGGGAGTCCCAGGAGGGTCCATGTGGTAACATAACATCTATTTCCCAATTATTTATTATGTTCATTACATGAAAAAAACACATGCAATGTGATTATTTTAATAATACAGTTTAGGGACAGTTTTCAAGCTCAGTTTGAATTCACAGTCTGCAAACATCTTGTAACCTCTCTGCTGTATAATGTGGAGATTGATTTGATTTGCTGGAGGAACACTGACTTAAAAGGCCCGATAGCTCATCCTCTGATTGGTCTGAGAACTTTTTATTAAATCCGAGTTGACCCAGAAAAGCAGAGATGTATGGAAGCTTGTTGCTGCCAGTGAAATAAATAAATAAATAAAAATGTCAAGCAGTGCTAAGTCAAAGTTTTGAGTTATCTCAAAATTTCTAGTTACACAGTTTTGGGTGGATGGACAGTAAAAAAACAAAAACAGGCTTCTCTACAGAAATGTTAAAGCCCTGCAGGAGCTGCTATAGGAAAGCACATCTGCCGCATGAACTTACCTATAAGACATCTGAGCGTCTTTGGGGTCTTTAAATTTTTAACTTCTGGGAATTACTGAGATGTTTGTCTAAAAAAAGTTTCTCCTAAGCATACTGCTAGTATAACTCCAGCTTGTAGGTCATCATTTATATCCATTATATAACAGTACCCAGACAAAAATTAGGACTGCATCACTAAAATTAGGAGAGATAGGGCAAGAACCTTCACTCTGAGTTAAAACGACCACACCCCAAATCTCCAAAATAAGCTGAACCCTTTTCTATGGCGCTCCCTAAAGACCACAGAGGACATTTTTTTCTTAACTCACCATAAAATGTAGATTTTTTTGCAATGCTTTTGCCTTTATGTCACAATAATTAATCGTAATATGGTTTACATGAATTTTAATCCACATGAATAGTCGTTGTGATCCAGTCCAGTAAAAGAAAGGCTGCAGATAACTTGAAGAGGAGAAATGATGTGACATTTTACATGATGCATTTAATGCTCATTACTCATATTAAACTGTAGATGTCCAACAGCATCCAAGTGCAGGTTGTGAGCACAGTTGCAGCTGTTCTTCCTGCTGTGATTGTTGAACTGCGCCTGGATAAGTGGTTATTGTTCGGACTTCTCCTGCTGCTGCGGTTCAGTCTCTAGTGAATATGTAGCAGGAGAAATAACTCAAAAGTATTGTGAGGTTATGTAAATGTTCCATAACATATTCTCATCCCAGGTTGTTGCACTGTATAATGCCACCCTGCACAAGGTAACAATATCCGAGAAATAATGATCAGGTTTAACAGACCTACAGTATCCAGACAAGAAGGCTGGTGGGGGTGGGAATGGCCAAGAGACCATAGTTTGCACTCACTTTTTGCTTTCATTGTCACTCGTTGATTAGGTTTACTCACTAAAAACTGCTTTTGTAGCTTAAGGAAAAGCATGGTTCAGGTTAAAATGATCTACAAAACATTAAAAATGCATGTAGAAAAGTGATGAGCTGGAAGTGACCCCTGTTTATATTGCCATTGCATGAGCTCTGCAGCCCCACCAAAGTACACTGTATAATGTAACACACCAAAGACTTTGACAGGACATTATTTTCTGAGGCTGACGAAAATGGACTACGTTTATCTTGAAGTAATGCAAAAACAGTCCTTAAACAATATCTGTTGAGCTTAAATCCTGTTCGATCACCTGATGAACTGTCTTCCTCGTTTTAGCCATCACGGTCTCACAGTGGTGATCTCAGCAGTTTCACAAGTGACATACATGATGTTCAAAACTGGGGAAAAATAGCAATCTTGTCGCATGTATGATAAATTGAAGCTCCTTTGTGCCGATGTCAAATGTTCAACATAAGAGAGAATTACTTGTGTCACTGACATCCATCAACATTTTTCATTACACCGCTCCTTGTAGCTCATTATGTTATTTGCATAAATTCAGTCCTTTTGCCAATTAACCATCATTGCTGAGGGCAGTATCACCCTCTAAGATTTTCATATATCATCAATTTCCAATTCAAGCCTCTTTGTGCTCTCATTAAAATCCGCTTAAATGATTAATCAGCTGAGTTTCTACTGGGCCTTATGAGAATACTGGTGATCAATGAAGATGTCAATGGCAGCCGCTCAATAACAGAGTTTAAAGCTCAGTTAATGTCCACTTTGCCAGTTGGCCACAGGTAAGAAGCAGTATTTACTGAGCTTTCTGCAGGATGTTAATACGACTCGAGGACATGAAAGGTGCAGCATTTCTTAGGTCTGGAAAACTTCACCCCAGCTTATCATCGTGTTTTATTTGATCCTGCTGTGCAAGGTTGACGGCTCCAGGGTTTCTACCCATTCTTGACGGAAACACGAGTGGTCGTGCTGTCAGGGAGGAACAGAAGTCTTTGTTGTTACTGCAGCATCTGCCAGGCATATGAGCAAAGGGTCTGCATGGATCAATGACTTCTCAAGGCCCTGATAGACACAGGCAGATAGACGCAGGGGCAGCCTGCTTCCATGCACCTTTGTTTTCTTTTTACAAAGACAAATAACCTAATAGACTTTGACAAATACCTCGGGACCGGCATTTATCAGACATGTTCTTTGTGCTTCTTTGATTTGATACAGTGTGATTTAGGAAAACTTGTGTAAAGTGTGTTTTGTGACTGATACAGATAACAAACTTTAATCTCTTTGAGCTTCACTTGATATTTGTAAAGCTTAAAAAAACGTTAGTGCCAATAAGAAGAAATTCATTTTTGCAACACAAAATAAACAAATGCCTATAACGCCAGAAGCCACTTTGTTAGGTACACCTTAATAGCCCTGGATTGGAACCAGTTTTTTGTCTTCAGAACAGCCTTAATGATTCGTAGCATAGATTCAACAAGTTTCTGGAAACATTACGCAGAAATTTTGGCACATATTGACATGACAACATCACGCGGGTGCAGATGATTTGACAGCTGCACATCCATGATGTGAATCTCCCTGTTTCACCACATCACCAAAGGTGCTCTGTTCGACTGAGTTCTGGTGATTGTGAAGGCCATACACTCATAGTGAACTCATTTTCATGTTCAGCATGGTCAGCAACAATAGTCAGGTGTGCTGTTTAAACAATGCTCAAGGGGCCTACAACACTGCATCACCAACAGCAGCCTGAACCACAGTGCAAGATGGATCCATGCTCTCGTGCTGCCTACATCAAATTCTGGCAATGTGAAAGCTGAAGCAGAAATAAGAACTCACTAAGCCAGTGAGACTGTTTTTTTTTGTTTTGTTTTTTTTGTTGTCTAGTTTTAGTGACCCTGTGTTAACTGTAGTCTCAGTTTCCTGTTTGTAGCTGACAGGAGTGACACCTGGTGTGGTCTTCTTGCTGCTGTACTGGATGTGCATTCAGAGATGCTCTTTTGGCACTGGCCATTCTCCTCTGACCTCTAACCTCTAAGGCATTTTCACACAGAGATATTTTCTCTTTTTTCAAACAGTTCTCTGTAAAGCCTGGAGATAGTTGGAAAATCCCAGCTGATCAGCAGTTTCTGCAACTTCCTGAGCCCCTGACACTGACAACCACACCTATCTGATGCTCAGCTCGATATTCAGCAGGCTGCTGCTGTGATTGGCTAATTAGATATTTCCACTGAAGTTTGATCAGATGTACCTAACAAAGTGGCCAGTGAATGTAACTATGCATCAGGAGATAATGTTTTTACAGAGACTTAATATTTGTATACAAAAACATAACTGATGCTACTTTTGTGATTTCATTCAGTTTCTATTATGATGCTGACACATTTTTTCACAGTTTATCCAAGAGACGGATTCTTTCTAAACAACCGTCAGTTCATGTGTTAAAATATATGTCGTAGTTTATTTGCATATGCTGGTATCGCTTCCTCCATAGATTTTGCTTTTAAATGGGGTTCTGAGTAAGGTTTCGTTCATAGCAGGTTTTATCACTGATATTTGAGACTGTCCTCCCCCAGACAGTTGCTATAGGTTATTTGTAGTTTTATAGTTGTTTTTAATCTTAAACACTTTGACAACCGACAAAATGTATTTAACATTGCACAGCGTGCAATGTTAAATTGCCAAGCAGTTTAAATTTTGTGGTCAAAAGTCAGCTGTAACATTTGTGGTTCCTGCACCCTGCCTGCCCTCTGATTTTTTTTCACTCTCTTGAAGTGGAGCCACTCCTGCACTGTGCAGCTTTTCAGTGGTGCTTAGGTGGGTTGCTTTAGATGTCGGGAACAAATATATTGTGTAGCTGGAGGCCTAATTTGTGCAGTCATTGACTCAGTCACTCACTTGCCTCTTCAGTCCCACCTGCCCTGCTGCATTACCTGATGTTTCCTGACCCTCTTCTCACCTGTTTTCACACCGCTCATCAGCCCTCTTCAGTTTATGCAGCACATTCCCACCCTCCTACCTCTTGTTGCCTCAGCAGAAACCAGAGCATCACCTTGTATTTACGGATTCAGATTTCAGCTCTTAGTTCTTGCTTGTTTCTCTGAACTCTGCCTGTGCTTTGGATTCAGCCTCGGCCTGCTCCCGTGTTGTGTTTTCATGCTTCGTTGTTTTGGAACAGTTAACCTTCTTTTTGTAAGCAACGCTTGCTATTTTTTCTTTTTCTTCTTT